GCAACTGTTATTCAAATAATAATAATAATAATAATAATAATGGTGATGATAAAGTTGGAAGGAACCTTGGAGGTCATCTAGTCCAACCCCCTGCTCAGGCAGAAATCCCTACACCATTTCGGACAAATGGCTGTCTAGTTTCTTCTTAAAAACTTTCAGTGTGGGAGCATTCACCACTTCTGGAGGCAGGTAGTTCCACTGGTTAATTGTCCTCACTGTCAGGAAATTCCTCCTTATTTCTAGGTTGCTTCTCTCCTTGATGAGCTTCCATCCGTTGCTTCTTGTCCTGCCTTCAGGCGCTTTGGAGAATAGGCTGACACAACCCCCCCCCCCCGCAGCCCCTCTTTTAAAACTTCCTACGGACTAGCTCCCTCCTTTCTGCCCGGCTCCTTAGGAAACTGGCCGAGCCCCGCCCTCCTGCTGGCTGTGCAGCCCGAGGGCGCCCGACTACACCTCCCAGCAACGCCCAGGGCGGCGTGGCGCAAGGCAGGATGGGAAGGGCGTCTCCCCGCCTTCTCTCCCGCCTCCCGCCTGCCGCTGCGCCCAATCGGAGGGCGGGAAGGCCCGCCCGGCGAGCGGCGATTGGCTGCTTTGGAAACGAGGCCGCCGTTTGAAATCTTTTAACGGCGGCGGGCCTTGAGGGAAGCTACCGAGGGTTACTTCGGATCCCCCCGAGAGTGAGGTAAGTCTGGCTTGGGGGGGGGCTCTGTGGAGGGGTCTCCTCTTCGTCCCTGGGGGGACGGGAGGGCGGAAGGGAGTCACGCCGGGATGGGGGGGGAGAATGGGGAGGCAGTTTTCCTCGCGGTCCGCACTCTGCTTTTCGCCCCCTCCCCAGCGAAGTAGCAGGTAGCGGGTCAACCAAGGTGGGGGAGGGGAGGGGAGAAGAAGATGGGGGGGGCGAGCCCCGGGCTCTCTGTCCCCCCCCCCGCGCCGAATTTTTTTTGGGGGGGTTGGACTACAACTCCCATCGTCCAGGGCTTGCTGGGGGTGATGGTGGTGGTGGTCGTGAGGGGGACGGGGCGCCTCGCCAGCCTCCCCCGATGTGGCAAGAAGGAGGCGATGTGAGGCTTCCCGTTTCCAATTGAGGTCGTCTAATGTATGGTTTGTTTTAGGTCTTAGCCATCATTGATCATCATTACAGCAATGCTGGTTACTCTCGATCATGCTTATTGGGTGTTGCCTAATGTTGTCGCCAAGGGGAGTTGGGGGTGGGCGGGTTGTTATTGTTTTTCCACGCTTTTTAGATTTTTTAATTTATTTTTTTGTGAGCGCCCTCCCCATTAAGAGAGCGGTTATAAGAACAATAAATTGTATTTTGTATGGTGCAAATTTATATATGGATATGTAAATTCTCTACCTAAATACAAAATAAATAAATAAATAAATACGTCCCTGCTGCCTGATTCTCAACTGCTCTGAGCGGGGATGCCCACAATCCAACCAAAAGACATTAAAAACAGTGTCAAAAACAAGCTAAACATCCTTTATTTTGCTAAAGTTAAACAATCAAGATAAAAGATGAGGGTGTTGAAGAGAAGGCTCTCCCTGGAGTGTGTGTGTGTGTGTGTGTCTGTGTGTGTGGTTTTGTGTTTGTATATATACATAACAATTACAGCATACATACACAATAACATACACATCTCTTGTCTTCGTATTTTTATTGCATTTCTTAAATTTATGTGCTGCCCGTTTCACTAGGCGTTTTCGAAACATATATCCAAAAGTCTTGCTCTTGTGTATCTCGAATTAGATGCTTTAATGTTTTCTACTGGTTTTTATTGTTTGCTTTAATTAGAAAGGGAATTCTTTATTGGCCAAGTGTGATTGGACACACAAGGGATTTTTTTTTTTTATCTCCAGGGCATAAGCTTTACTGTAAATACAACAATAAATTGATAGGGCATAGATCATAGTTACTGTCATTAATCGTAAGATATAACAAGTGATAAATCATAGGTACTACTAGGAGAAAGTAATAGGAAAGGTGAGAAGAATAATAGTAACACAGCCTACTACTGTACTGTGGGAATTAGGTGTTCAGCAGAGTGATGGAGGGGGGAACAACTATCATATAATAATAATAAAGTTGGAAGGGACCTTGGAGGTCATCTAGTCCAGTGGTTCTTAACTTGGGTGATATTGCCCCCCAGGGGGCGATTTTGTTTTTCAGGGGGGGTGATGGAACGAAAAGGGGGCAATATGGGGGCGATGGAGCGAGGCGTTTTGGGGACACTTTTGAGACTTTTTTCGTACAGTGAATCGCTGTATATCTGATGGAGGGGGGAGCGCTTCTTTCGAAACATCGCATGCTGAGTGGCTCTGTAAAACATTTTGTATTGTACTTTTTTAGCGTGCATTCCAGTTTGATATCATATTTTCTTTGTGTCTTTTTAATCCCTTTTACAGTATGCGTGACTATATATACTTTCCTAGAATCTTAATTGAGTTTCAGAGTTTTCGTCTTGAAATTCTTAGTTCCTGCACTGCGGTTTGTTCTTGTGCCCTTTTTATATTTCTTTTTGCGTCTTAAATTTCACTTGTAATTCAATCATTAAATGTTACTGTTTTTCTTTTTCGGCGTTTCACTTTCTTGCAATTGAATTTTGTTTTCAGCGGTCACTACATTTAAGTGTCTTGAATAAATAAGATAATCATGAAATACATGGATCACGAAGTTTGGGAATAAAGTGATGGGTGGCACCAAAATTTTTCACACAGTTGAGATATGGGAAAAAGACTGGAAATAAATTATTTGCATCGATATGTCCTGATGACAATTTTAAAGAAAACCAAAAAAGTGTTTGGATAAATTGAAGAATTATTTCCTATGTTGTGATTGAGAGGTTATGTTGGGGGAGGGGGGCAATGACAACTTCCTCATTGGCTCAAGGGGGCGATTCGTTCAAAAAGGTTAACCACTGGACTAGTCCAACCCTCTGCTCATTTTTGTTTTAAAATGTTTTTTAATTATATGTTTTGAATGGTAAACTGTCCAAAGGTATTGACTGAGATTGGCTATAGAAACTAAACAAATGTTATTGAGTGTATAGTATAATACATGCTAGCCCCAGACATTGGGTTAAGTCAGTGGTTCTCAACCTGTGGGTCGGGACCCCATTTGGGGTCGAATGACCATTTCACGGGGGTCGCCAAACCACGCTGTCCGCCATTTTTTTCCCTGTTCCCTAGCTGTCCTACTCCCTCTTATTGGTGGCCACACCCACTTGGGGGTCACCACAACATGGGGAACTGTATTATGGGGTCACGGCATTAGAAAGGTTGAGAATCACTGGGTTAAGTGTTAATAGACTGGGGATACTGGAAATGAGATTTTTTTTTTCTTTTTAGGGGCCTCAGTTTGGTTTTTCTTTATTTTTGTCTACCACCCAGAGTTCCACTGCTTAAGTGGGGGGGGGCTATAAAGTGGATTCAGAACTTGAAAAATAAATATTGCATCTTTATTTCCTGCAGTGCCTGGTGTTTGCTCCTGTGGAGAAAAATCGGTTTTCAGATGAATGGCATCGATTTAATCTAAATTTGAGTTGAAATATAAAGACCTAAGATATGTAGCCTTCAATCTTCAGCCGGACACCTTATCAGAATGTTCCCATGGCAACCCATAAATCTGTCAAGATACTAGTCCAGATGCCTTTGGCATGCCCAAATTGCCTTTTAATTTATTATTTTCTTAATAAATAGGCGGCAGAAGGGCTGGAAGTAACTTTAGGTCCATTCCTTAGGAATGTGTCGGTTGCATCATGTATGTATGTATGTATATATGCCTGTATTGTTGTTCCCCTCCTTTCCCTGTGTAAATGCAGGGCATCTCTTTTGCTGGCAGGGGTGTCTCACTATCTTTTGGGGGATCCCCCCTCTCCAAAAGAACCAAAGGGATATTTGCAGCTCAAGGTTGTTGAACTGTGAATCTTTGTGCTCTCTGAGCTTGTGTTAAGGACCCACTTCAATCCCACATTTTAAGAAAGCAGAACGCTTTGGAAACAATTTCTTCCCCCGGGAACTTTTATTAAGAGTAGTGGATAGCAGGCATCATAGACAGGATCTGAGGGATTCCCTTACAGATCGATACACCCCACCCCCACAGTTCATCTGGGAAATCCCCAGGTGTTAAATCCATTGATGGGAAAGGAAAGATAAAATTCCACAGTTCTTCACACCTCATTTTGAGGACGGGAGAAATAAACCAGCCAGCATGCCAGATGTCCATTAAAGAGGGCAGGGGGGCAGAGTCAAAGGGCATTAGCTGGGGTCATCTGGGAGAGGGCAAGACCTCAAGGCCCTGCAAATGGCCGTAAAGAGGTAGTCCAGCTCTTCTCCAAAGCGCCTGAAGGCAGAATACAAAGCAATGGGTGGAAACTAATCAAGGTGAGAAGCAACCTAGAACTAAGGAGAAACTTCCTAACAGTGAGAACAGTTAACGAGTGGAACAACCTGCTCCAACACTAGAAGTTTTTAAGAAGAGACTGGACAGCCGTTTGTCCGAAATGGTATAGGGTTTCCTACCTGAGCAGGGAGTTGGACTAGATGACTAAGGTCCCTTCCAATTCTGCTATTCTGTTATTTAGTGGAATGGCTTGCCTTCAGAAGTGGTGGATGCTCCAACATGGGAGGTTTTAAAGAAGAGACTGGACAGCCCTTTGTCTGAAATGGTGTGGTTTCCTGCCTGAGCAGGGGGTTGGACTAGATGACCTCTAAGATCCCTTCCAATTCTGTTATTTAGTGGAATGGCTTGCCTTCAGAGGTTGTGGATGCTCCAACACTGGAAGTTTTAAAGAAGAGACTGGACAGCCCTTTGTCTGAAATGGTATAGGGTTTCCTGCCTGAGCAGGGGGTTGGACTAGATGACCTCCAAGGTGCCTTCCAACTTTATTATTATTTATTATGAAGAGACTGGACAGCCCTTTGTCTGAAATGGTGTAGGTTTTCCTGCCTGAGCTGGGGGTTGGACTAGATGACCTCCAAGGTGCCTTCCAACTTTATTATGATTTTTAAATGCAGTCTGATTGCCGGGCCGCTCCAGATAGGTTTGTCGGAACTTTGAATGCTTGCTTAAATGACTGACTGAGTGGAGGACTAGCTGTATTTGCTTTGGGGCCCTGGAGTTTGAATTCGCACATCGGAGGGCTCTCCCGAAGGGCTCTGCTTCAGGGCTTCTCAAAGGCATCTGGCAAGGCTTCGTTTGAACCGAGAGGCTGCCCCGAAGGTACCCTTGGCCTGCCAATTTGAGATATACCGGGTGGGTGGGGCCTTTGAATTCTCTGCCTTTCTTCCTACCAGGAGTAGAAGTGCAACTTTGTGCTAGTTTTGAATCAGGACGAGAAAAGAATATTTGCATCTCGGATCCTCAGGAGGACTGTGGAGTCCTTGGTGCCCTCTGAACTTGGCTGTTTTCTCACAGACCTTTCATGGCCCAACTAGGTAACATCACCAGTGCTAGAAGGGAGCAGGAGGAGCAGGAGGAGGAGGAGGAAAAGAACTGTGGGGTCCTTGGTGCGCTCTGAACATGGTTGTTTTCTTGCAAACGTTTCATGACCCAGTTAGGTAACACCATCAGTGCTAGAAGGGAGGAGGAGGAAGAGGAGGAGGACGGTGGAACCTTTGATGCTCTCTGAGCTGGGTGGTTTTCTTGCAGACGTTTCATGACCCAACCAAGTAACATCATCAGTGCTAGAAGGGAGGAGGAGGAAGAGGAGGAGGAGAAGGAGAATGAGAAGGAAGAGGAGGAGGAGGACTGTGGGGTCCTTGGTGCCCTCTGAACTTGGTTGTTTTCTCACAGACCTTTCATGGCCCAACTAGGTAACATCACCAGTGTTAGAAGGGAGCAGGAGGAGGAGGAGGAGGAAGAGAACTGTGGGGTCCTCGATGCGCTCTGAACATGGTTGTTTTCTTGCAAACGTTTCATGACCCAGTTAGGTAATACCATCAGTGCTAGAAGGGAGGGGAGCTTGCAGAGAGGAGGAGGATTGCAGGGTCCTTGGGGCTCTCTAAGCTTGTTTTTTTTTTCCAGAGACGTTCCATGACCCAACTAGGGAATATCATCAGTGCTAATAAAGAGTGGGGTTTGCAGAGTGGGAGAGAACGAGAAGGGGACGAGGAGGGTAGCATCCTTGGGGCTCTCTCAGCTTGCTTTTTTTTTTTTTGCAGACGTTTCATGACCCAACTAGGGAATATCATCAGGGCTAGAAGGGATCAGCACTCACTGCCTCACAGTGATTGGCCCAGAGTCACCCTTGCCTAGGCCTTAAAACGAGAATCCATTGGTGTCTTCGCCTGACAATCGCAGTCACTCGTCCTCAGCTGATGACCACCATTTCAGTCGGTAAATGAGACGTGTGTGAAGTGAGCTTTGCCCCGTTTTACAGCTTCCCTTGCCGCAGTCATTCCGTAGATCCCTGCAGTTGCTCCGTTAGTCACACGGTCGTTAAGTGGCTTCCCCGTTGACGTGGCTCGTCAGAAGGTTGCAAGAGCGGATCACATGATCCGGAGACACGGCAACCGTCATAAATGTGAGTCCGTTGCCAAGCATTTGAATGTTGATCACTTGGCCGGGCGGAGGCTGCAACGGTCGTAAGGGTGAAAAAACGGACCCGTCCCTTTTTTCAGTGCCGTTGTAACTTTGAGCGAGGACTTTCTGCGGTGTACCTGTGTGTGTAAAATAACGGTCTTGGATTCTTTGCTCTGATTTCCCGCAGCAGCGATAGCGAAAACTATCATGCATTTTTTTTTAAGGGCTCCCAAGGCTTATTTTAATTTTTGGGCTTCGTTTGCTGTGAAATCTGGGCAGATATCTTTAGAAATTGGCAACAACTTTGGGACTGCTCTTTTACACCACTGTATTTTGCCTCCCACAAGGCAGCTAAAGGCAGGTGTGTGTGTGTGTGTGTGTGTGTGTGTGTGTGTCTCCTGCTGAGCAATTTATCTTGGCTGCAACATGGTGAGAAGAAGGGAGTGGAGCTAATGCAGCCTTCCTCTGCACTGCAATGCACCCCACTGCTCTTGCATTGCAGATTTCTAGATCTGTACTATAGGTGGTGGTGAGGAATCATGGGTAATGTAGTGCAAAATAAGGGGGGGTTGGAGGAAAGATGGAAAGTGACCCCCCCTGTACTCAATTTTCTAGCCAGTTGGTGCCACCTCCGATGGAGCTGTTTTGCCTGACCAGCTTGCCCAAGCAGGTATGAAATAGGATCTTGCGTTTAGATAGTGATAAAATTATTTGCACCCTGCCTGACAGAACAATTAACCAGTGGAACAACCTGCCTCCAGAAGCGGTGAATGCTCCAACACGGGAAGTTTTTAAGAAGAGACTGGACAGCCATTTGTCTGAAATGGTCTAGGGTTTCCTGCCTGAGCAGGGGGTTGGACTAGGTGACCTCCAAGGTCCCTTCCAACTTTATTATTATTATTATTATTATGAAAGTATAGACTGGGCGAGACCTGGCTCAAAAACAGCAACTGGGAGAGGGACCTTGGAGTCCTAGTGAACGATAGCTTGACCATGACCCAGCCGTGTGCAGCCGCCGCCCAAAAAGCTAATAGAATCCTGGGTTGCATAAACAGAGGCATAGAATCAAGATCACGTGAAGTATTAGTACCGCTTTATAAAACCCTAGTGAGGCCACACCTGGAATCCTGCAGCTAATTTTGGTCACCCTATCAGAAAAAAGATGTTGAGAGTTTGGAAAAAGTCCAGAGAAGAGCAGCTAAGATGATCCAAGGCCTGGAGACCAAAACATACAAAGAACGGCTGCGGGACTTGGGTTAGGCTAGTTCTAGGGAAAAGAAGATATAGGGGAGACATGATAGCAGCGTTCCAGTATCTGAGGGGCTGCCCCAAAGAAGATGGGGGTCACATTATTCACGAAAGCATCAGAGGGAAGGACGAGAAACAACGGTTGGAAACTGACCAAAGAGAGAAGCAACCTGGAATTAAGCAGAAACTTGCTGAAAGTGAGGATAATTAACCAGTGGAACAGCTTGCCACCAGAAATCACTGGAGATTTTTAAGAAGAGACCTGACAGCCACTTGTCTGAGATGGTATAGGTTCTCCTGCTTGAGCAGGGGGCTAGACTAGAAGACCTCCAAGGTCCCTTCCAGCTTCTGTTCTGTTCTATTCTAAATCAAGGAGCACCTGTCGGGTCAGAAAAGTCAAGATGGCAGCCACAACAGTGCCTCTGAAGTTCCATCTCCGTTTTGATGCTCGTCACACATTAACCAGCTGGTTCACTTTGCCAGATGCTCCTGCTCCCCATTTAAATTGGGGCAGATTTACACCAAGGCTGCGGGTTGTTGAAGAGATGCTGGCTGCAGGTGATAAGCCTCCGGCAGGTGACAGACAGGTGGAAAATCAGACAGTACATTATCCGCAAGTCACCAAGTGAGACGGCTGTGGGCAAAACTACTTGGCGGGGATTTGAAATCCTTGTTGCGGGAATGTCAAGATGATGAATGGATTCTGTCTGGCCTGTCGGGAAGGGAACTGGGCTTGATTGAAAAGTGTTAGATTGCTAATTGAAATAGCTTTGGGGGAGAATAGAAGAGAGCTGGAAGGGACCTTGGAGGTCTTCTAGTCCAGCCCTCTGCTCAAGCAGGAGAATCTATACCAGAGGTAGGCAACCTCAGCTCTTTTATGACTGGTGGACTTCAACTCCCAGAATTCCTGAGCTAACCATGCTGAGGGGAAAGGGAGAGGTTTCTAAGCTGAGCCAGGCTGGCTGAGGAATTCTGGGAGTTGAAGTCCACCAGTCATAAAAGGGCCAAGTTTGAAGACCCCTGGTTTAAATATTTAAATATTTTTTTCTTCACAATCACGTGATCAAAATTTTATAAGTGGTGGACTTCAGCTCCCAGAATTCCTGAGCCAGCATGGGGGAACTATGGCCCCCCCTCATGACTCGTGGACTTCAACTCCCAGAATTCCTGAGCCAGCATGGCTCAGCTTGGAAACCTCTCCCTTTCCCCTCAGCGTGGCTGAGCCAAGGTTGCCTACCCCTGACCTATACCATCTCAGACAAGTGACTGTCTAGCCCAGGGGTAGGCAACCTTGGCTCTTTTATAACTGGTGGACTTCAACTCCCAAAATTCCTGAGCCAGCATGGGGGAACTAGGGCCTCCTTCTTTCTTCTCTTCTTTCTTTCTTCTTTCTCCTCCTCCTCCTCCTCCTCCTCCTCCTCCTCCTCCTTCTTCCTCCCTTCCTTCTTCTCCAGCTCCCCCACTCCTTTCTAGCATTGATGATGTTACCTAGTTTGGGTCATGAAACGTCTACAAGGAAACCACCCACTCAGACAGCACCAAGGACCCCACAGTTATCTTCCTCCTCCTCCTCCTTTTTCTCTTTCTTCCTTCCTCTTCCTCTTCTTCCTCTTCCTCCTCCTCCTCCTGCTCCCCCACTCCCTTCTAGCACTGATGATGTTACATAGTGTAGGTCACGAAACATCTACTCGAAAATCACCCAGCTCAGAGAGCACCAAGGACCCCACAGTTATCTTCCTTCTCCTTTTTCTCCTCTTTCTTTCTTCCTCTTTCTTTCTTCCTCCTCCTCCTCCTCCTCCTCCTCCTCCTCCTCCTCCTCCTCCTCCTCCCCCCCCACTCCCTTCTAGCACTGTTGATACCTAGTGTGGGTCATGAAGCGTGTACTCGAAAACCACCCAGCTCAAAGAGCACCCAGGAGCCCTCGTTTCAACCCGGAGCTCCAAATAATTCTCTTTTATTGAAACGGCTCCTCTTAAATTGGCCCATCGTTCCTCATCCTGGGCCCAGTGGGCCCCAGATGCCACTTGAAAGAATTCCCTGACTCGGGAATAAGCCCCCCCATCTTTGCCTGGCTGCCCGGCGGAAACCAAACGGGGATTGTCTTCCTTTCTCCCAGCTGGAGAAGAAGTTACTCTTCTCTTCCTTGCTCTGTAAGACGGGCTTCTCCGGAGGCTCAACGTTTATGTTTTCTCTTTAACCGCCTATTTTTAACCTGGTGTTGCTCAAGCTTGGTGCGGGGAGAGGCGAACTACAGGGCAGGCAATGTCATTTATTTTTGGGTTGCTGGGAAGGGAGACACCGGATCTGTAGCCACGACGGGCTGGGGCTGGCAGCGAAGGAGCCAGGGAAGATCCTGGCACCACTTTGATCTTCCCTTTTGGACTAACGGCTCCGATGGCCCTTCGGACCACCCTGGAAAAAAGCAGGATTAGCCGGGATTTTTAGCCTTGATCTCACAAAGCCAGCCGTGATAGGCAACTTTGGGCATTGGGGAAAGGACCCTCTTGATGTCCCAAAGGTGCTTTTTTCCCCCCACAAAAGGCAACTAGGCTTTGTTTCCCCTTGATGATGTTTCCCTTCTCCCTCCCAGAAGCTTCTTCAGTTCACCAGTTCAGAACTGAAGAGACTCCTTGGATGGGAAGCGAAAACATTGTCAGAGCAGGCGTAGTCTTATTGCACTGAGACAGGGGTAGGCCACCTTGGCCCCTTCTTGACTGGTGGACTTCAACTCCCAGAATTCCTGAGCCAGCCATGCTGAGGGGAAAGGGAGAGGTTTCCAAGCTGAGCCATGCTGGCTCAGGAATTCTGGGAGTTGAAGTCCACGAGTCATGAGGGGGCCATAATTCCCCCATGCTGGCTCAGGAATTCTGGGAGTTAAAGTCCACGAGTCATGAGGGGGCCATATTCCCCCATGCTGGACTCAGGAATTCTGGGAGTTGAAGTCCACGAGTCATGAGGGGGCCATAGTTCCCCCATGCTGGCTCAGAGAATTCTGGGAGTTGAAGTCCACGAGTCATGAGGGGGCCATAGTTCCCCCATGCTGGCTCAGGAATTCTGGGAGTTGAAGTCCACGAGTCATGAGGGGGCCATAGTTCCCCCATGCTGGCTCAGGAATTCTGGGAGTTGAAGTCCACCAGTCATAAAAGAGCCAAGGTTGCCTGCCCCTGCGCTGAGATAACCCAGGAGTGAACACAGTAAACAGTGGTCTATATTAAATGGTAGTTTATCTTATACTATCTGATCATGTGAAGAATTAATACCACTTTACAAGGCATTGGTAAGGCCACACTTGGAATCCTGCATCCAGTTTTGGTCACCATGATATAAAACAGATGTTGAGATTCTAGAAAGAGTGCAGAGAAGAGCAACAGAGATGATCAGGGGACTGGAAGCTGAAACATACAAAGAACGGTTGCTGGAATTGGGCATGTCGAGTTTAATGAAGAGAAGGAAGAGGGGGGACATGATAGCAGTCTTCCAGGACTGGTCATTAAGTGAGTTTTGCCCCGTTTTATGACCTTTTCTGCCACAGTTGTGAAGAGAAGGACGAGGGGGGACATGATAGCAGCCTTCTAATCAATCTCAGGGGCTGCCCCAGAGAAGAGGGAGTCAAGCTATTCTCCAAAGCACCAGAAGGCAGGACAAGAAGCAACGGATGGAAACTAATCAAGGAGAGAAGCAGCCCGGAACTAAGGAGAAACTTCCTGATGGTGAGAACAATTAACCAGTGGAACAACCTGCCTCCAGAAGCGGTGAATGCTCCAACACTGCACATTTTTAAGAAGAGACTGGACAGCCATTTGTTTGAAATGGTATTCGGTTTCCTGCCTGAGCAGGGGGTTGGACTAGATGACCTCCAAGATCCCTTCCACCTTTACTACTACTACTATTATAATATCATTACCTTGACAAACATCTTCAAGAAAAAGCAAAGCCCAGTTGCCCTTTTTGAAAAAGCACCTCTGGGACACCCATGACCTGGGTGATTGAGAAACTCCATAGACCTGCTCGATGGGTTTTTTGAGGGGTCTTCATTTTGGCTCTTGCGCCAGCCCTGCCAGAGGGTGCCAACTAGATATACCACAAGTGTCCATCCGTGCCAATTGAAGACATGGCTGGCTGGGGGGATTCTGGGAGTTGAAGTTCACAAGTCTTAAAAGTTGCCAAGGTCGGACGCCCCCGATACATCCAATCCTCAGACTGGGGAAGGGTGATAGCCAAAGCATGGGGAAACCAGAAAAAGAAAAAACACCTTTTGATTCCTGAGGTAGCACCTGAGCAGCTTGCTAACCTGCAGCCTCAGGATTGACAAATTCCATATTTTCAAAGCAGGCTGGTCTCTTGGATGGAGGTCCTTATCGGGGTGACGAATATCCATCCAACCGGATCAGAATTAAAAAAGCACGATTCAGTTTTCCGCTT